CGGGCCGCGCATTCCCGGCGTTCAGAGCCGCCGCCTCCGCAGCGCAGCGCCGGCCGGGACTCTGCCGCGTGGTCGGTAAGTGCGCCGCGGGTGGGTCCCGGTGCCCCTGAGGCTTTGCGCGCCCTGGTCCGAGGCCGGCCGCGGGCACTTGGGGAACCGATGGGGGGTCGTGTCTGGCGGACCGGTCCGCACAGCGCTCGCAGGCCCTTCCGGAGGGCATGGGTTGGGCGGCGGGGCGGGTAGGGCTTGCGGGGGCGGGGAGGCTCCCGGGCCTTGGACGGGCTGGCGGCGCCCTCCGTGCGGGGACCCGGTTCGTGCATTTTCCGCAGGCGCCGATGCCCGCCCCCCCGGCCCGCCCACCGCAGGGTGCCAGTGGGCGGGACGGTGACCCCGCCTGGCGGGGCGGAGGTGCGGTGACCTCATCGTGGTGACGCGGAGCTTCCCGCGGAGGTCCAGGGCCTGGGATGGGCAGCCCTGCCCAGGCGGTCAGGGCTATTTCTGGCCGGGCCTATCTTCCACGCCCGTCCTTTCCCTGGGGACTCAAGTCCACCAGGCAGCGCTGGGAAGAAGGGCGACTTCTCGATGATTTTCCGGAGTCCAGGCTTTGTTTGGGAACCAGCCACCCCAGTAGGCCTGGGATTGGAGCCTGGCCTGGGGACACCCACAGTAGCAGGGATCTGTTAGCTCTTTAAGTTTGGCTCTTTGAGACAGGGTTTTGCTTTGTAGTATATGCTGACCTCGAGCTGGCCAATGAACCTCTTGCCTTAGTCTCCGAAGTACTGGATTACAGGTGTGGGCCACTATGCCCAGTGGCAGGGGTGTGCTTGTGCCCCCCTCCTCCAGTAATGGACCTTGTATTTGGGCCCCAGCTCAGGGTTGAAGGTCTCCCTGCCTGCCTCCCAGCTCAGGGGTGAAGGTCTGGGCCACCCTCAACTCTGGGGGTGGGTTTAGTCTGCTTTCAGCCGTCCAGGGGTGAAGAAGGCCTCTTCCATTCCCCATCCAGGGGTGGAAGTCACTGCTTTCTCCCCCTGGGCTACAGCTGTGTACTTTGGTTGGGGAGGGACTGGGACAGGGAGCTGGAGCTCAGGCTCAGGGTGGGGCGCTGGGGAGGCCTGAGCTCCCTCCCAGGATCTGACTGTCCAGAACTGCCTCCTCCTGCCCCACCCTAGCCCAGACCAAAATACCCGGTCTGGCTGGTGCTCACTGCCTCTGGCTCTTGTGTGGACCCTGTGGCTCTGGATGCAGTTCTGGCCCACAGGCAAGGTCCAGTCAAGGAGGGGTGGCAGCCTCTGTCAGGGCCAGGCCTGTGAACTGTGACCTGTCCTGGTTCCCCTAGCTCAGGATCCTGGGGAACTTCCACCTACCCACCTGCCTGACTGAGGAGCCCTCCGCAGCCGCCTGGTGAGTGCTGAGTGGGGCGGGGCCGAGGCAGGTGAAAGTCTGGAAATGTGGCCCAGGGCGCCCAGCTGCTGTCTGCACCCAGTTGTGTCAGCACAGACGCTGGTACCCACAGGCTCTGGGATGGGCATAGCGGCTTCCCCACTTGGGGAGGGGGACACTGGGTCTGTGTGCTCTATCTGTGGGCACCTGCACTGCCCATATGGGCGCTGAGCTGGGCCTACAGAGTTCCCTGCTCCTTTACCCCTCTGTGGATGTCTGAGTGGCAGCTTCCTGCCAGCCTGGGGCCCAGGAATGCTGTGGTGATGGTCTGGGTCTGCTGAGCTCATCCCAGGCATCTGCCCTGACCCCTACCCCCACCCGCATGGCCACCAGTGATTTGCCTTCCTGGATGCTGGAACCAGGGCTCCTGAGCTGCAGCCTGGAAGTGACTCAGTTCCCCAGGATGCTCCTCCCAGGCCTTCCCTGGGGCAGGCAGGGCTGTACATCTGTGTCCCCTTCTGTCTCTGGCATCTGGCCACCCGACAGTCAGGGCCGGGTGCTGCAGGTGTCCAACCCTCTTCCCACATCCAGACCAGGATGGGCGAGTTCAATGAGAAGAAGACGACATGCGGCACCGTCTGCCTCAAGTACCTGCTGTTCACCTTCAATTGCTGTTTCTGGGTGAGGACGGGTATGGCCTGCACCCCACCCTAGGCGTGGCATGGAGCTGGGCCAGCGGTGGTGACAGTATGTGCTGCCCACAGCTGGCTGGCCTGGCTGTCATGGCAGTGGGCATCTGGACGCTGGCCCTCAAGAGTGACTACATCAGCTTGCTGGCCTCAAGCACCTACCTAGCCACGGCCTACATCCTGGTGGTGGCTGGTGTTGTCGTCATGGTGACTGGGGTCCTGGGCTGCTGTGCCACCTTCAAGGAGCGGCGGAACTTGCTGCGCTTGGTCAGCAGGGCATGGTGGCACCCTGGTGGGGGTGGCAGGGACGGGACCCAGGGTGGGGGTGCCTCACTGGCCACCTGAGACTGGCTCTGGGACCCTGACGAGGGCTGTGTCACTGCAGGCTGGTCTTGCTGTGCTTGGGTGGTGGCATGGTGCTCCTGCCTGCCCAGGCCTCAGGTAAGGCACCAGCTTTGTGAGAAGTACTGGGAGCCGGGCCGCCCCGAGCTCCCACCTGTTGCTCGAAGCCCTCACACTGGAGCCCCTGGGGTGGGGCTTCACTCCAGTGTCCATTGCTGGGAGCCCCCCTCACCGGGTTCCTGCCCTCCAGTACTTCATCCTGCTCCTCATCATCTTCCTGTTGGAGATCATTGCGGGCGTCCTGGCCTATGTCTACTATCAGCAGGTGAGGGACTCCACAGACCACAGGGGACAACCACTCCAGGGGTGTGCACACAGGGACAGATGTGCTGTGACACACCCATCCCTCCAGAGTTGACCACTGTGCTGTCAGGTCCTGGGGGTGGGGCTTGGGTCTCAGGCCATGGGGATCATGGGGGGTGACCTGCTTGCAGTGTCTGAGCTGCCTACCCTTGGGGCTCATGGGTGGGAAGGTATGGAGGCACTGTCTGACCTCAGCCTGTCCCTCTCGCTCTGGACCTCCCAGAGCCTCTCCAGCCCCACCTGAAGTCTCAGACTTTGATCCTCTCCCCACCAGCTGAACACGGAGCTCAAAGAGAACTTAAAGGACACCATGACGAAGCGGTACCACCAGCCAGGCCATGAGGGTGTGACCAGCGCAGTGGACAAGCTACAGCAGGAGGTAGGCATTGTAAAGAGCGCTTGTGGCTGTCCCCGGCGTGGGCTGCAGGTCACAGGCCCAGGCCCAGGCTCAGCCCTGTTGCTTGTAGTTTCACTGCTGTGGCAGCAACAACTCTCAGGACTGGCGGGAGAGCGAATGGATCCGCTCTGGCCAGGCGGGCAAGCGCGTGGTCCCTGACAGCTGCTGTAAGACTGTGGTGCCTGACTGCGGGAGACGGGACCACGCCTCCAACATCTACAAGGTGGAGGTAAGTGGGCACCTAGAGGGGTGGGCAGTCCAGACCTGCAGGCCAGTGCTCACCTTCACCATCTCACCCCACCTGCTAGGGCGGCTGCATCACCAAGCTGGAAACGTTCATCCAGGACCACCTGAGGGTTATCGGGGCTGTGGGCATCGGCATTGCCTGTGTGCAGGTGTGGGCATGTGGACAACGCGAGTGGGGGGAGGGGTGGCCGGCAGCCCTGAGGTGCCTCCTCACGCCTTCCTGGTTGTGCATAGGTCTTTGGCATGATCTTCACTTGCTGTCTGTACCGGAATCTCAAGCTGGAGCACTACTGAACCCCAGGGCCTGGCCCACCTCCCACCATGTCTGACTGCTGAACTGAGACTGCAGATGGCCAGGGCGAGCGCCTGTGCGCCCCACGCTGACCCTGGAGGTGGCTCCAAGTGCCTTTCGCTGCACACCAAAGTCCTGAGGCCATGCCCACCCCAGCACTGGACCAGGTGGCCAGTGCCTGTGCATGGGGGACCTAGGGCCCAGGCCTGGCTAGTGGGTGGGGGCGGAGTGCTGACAATCACGTGCCCCTCCCACAGGCACTTCTCGGATGTGGTCGCTCCCTGATGTCTGTCTAGTCAGGGCTGACTCTGGACACACCCTGTATGGCAGTCAGAGGCAGGAGGGGGCCACCTTCTGTGCCCACCCAGTTCTCAGCTACAGTCTCACCTCACCTGGGAACAGCCTCTAGCCTCCCTGTGAGGCTTAGCTCCCTAATGGCTTTGTTCCCCTTTTTTTATTTGGTTTCGTTTGCTCCCACAGCTTTTAAGGTCACCTGCACTCACACACGTCATGGCACTCTCCCCGTTGGTGTCCCTGTGGAGGCAGGGGATCTGATTTTGCCCTCTGCTTTTGCCCATATGCTCACAGTTGCTCCTGTCTAGTAACAGGTGCTGAATAAACGTTTGTTAGAGAAGAGCTGGGTTGAGCTGCTACCTTAGGGATAGATGGTGGTGTCCTGAGGGTCCATCCTCACAGTGGGGTGGAAAGACACTCCTGCTAAGTGTCCCCAGGGTCCAGAGAGCTCACAGGGCTCACAGGCAGGAAGCCCAAGTAGAAGGCAGTAGAGCACACTCCTTAAAGGTGGACATCCCTGGGGAGGGAATGGAGGACCTCCAGAGCCAACAGACCAGTGATCCTTGTGGCTATCTTTGGGGACACAGGAGATAGAGGCCAGGTCAGGGCACCAGCCCATGTCAGCTGGAGGGCACTGGGGCCTGCTAGGGTGGGAGGGCTCTGACCTTCCAAAGCTTCAGCCATAGGTCCCTGGATGTGGAAGCTGGTACTACCCTTTTCCCTCTGCAGGCACTCTGGGCTAGGAAGCCAAAATGTGGGTGCTACTGCCCCTTGGGGTGCTGCCCTATGGACCGTGGTTCTACTGGGCAGTATCCCAGCATCCACTTCCATTCACCTGGCCCAGTGGACTGCAGGAGTCACGGGCAGGGCCTGGGTAGAAAGGCCAATGCAGTTGGCCCAGACTCAGGCCTTGGAGGGTCAGGACCCAAAGAGCCAGGGATTCTAGTTTCTGCAGGATTCTAGCTACTGCAGGTTCTGCTGCAGCACAAAGGCTTGGGCTGAGTCCTCAGCGCTAACTTCCTAATAGAGGGATGGAACCAGGAAACAGAAACAAAACCAGGCCTGGGGAAGTGGAGGAGCTGGGCCATGCAGCTAAAAGTGGGACAAAGGGCACAGAAACACTGGCGCAGGGCGTCTCACAAAGCCAGGCTGACCAGCAGGACCCTTAGTAGTTCTCCAAAGACCTTTACTGGATTCGTTGTAGAATGGGCATTATATGCCCACATGGATGTGGCCTGGTGTTGCTTCCACCTTCTCAGTGCCTCAGCTTGAACTCAGCAGGACATGTGTCCACCATGGTCAGCAGACAGGGATCTTCTCCAGTGGTCACTTCTCCAGGGGTGCATAGTTGAGCAGCTTTTCTATCAGGTCCACATGAGCCAGCAGCATGCGGCGGCAGCAGTAGCGTTTCAGACCCAGCGCATCCAGGGCATCCCTGAGTTGAGGGGAGAGGCAGTGAGGCTGACTGTGGTTGCATCTCCCAGGCTTGAAGCCCCTGTACCACCTCCCTGGTGGACAGTGCTGCCTACTCATCTTTCCCCTCTCCTCTCTCCATCTCTCCTGAATCAGGGTTGACCCCAGGAGGCATCCTCTCCCATCTACTCTCTAAACTCCGAGTCTCACACACCCCATGTGTGCAGCCCCCTTCCAATCTACAGTCTTGTGCTCTATGCTCTCACCTAACTTCTTTTTTAATTTTTTTTTTTTGTTTTTTTTCTCCGGTACTGCGAACCGAACTCACGACCTTGCGCTTGCCAGGCAGGCGCTTTTTGCCGCTGATCTAAATCCCCAGCCCCTTCACCTAACTTCTGTCCCTGCTTTTGGTTCTTTTTTTTTTTTTTTTTTCTTTTTGAGACAGGGTTTCACTATGCACTTCAGGTCAGCCTTGAACTCACTTTGTAGGCCAGGCTGGCCTTGAGCTCACAGTAATCCTTCTGCTTCAACCACTTGAGTGCTGGGATTACAGGCGTGAGCCACCACACCCAGCTTTGTTTTTGGTTCTATACTTAGGGCTGGGGCTCTTCTTGGGATTTCCAAAGTTATTTAGCCCCTCACCAAACTGCTACTTCTCAGACCTCCCCACCTAGCTCAGGGCTCCCACATAGTGAGCTCTATCTGCTCCAGCAGCCCTCAGGAGGCACAGGGCCTCACTCTGGCCAGAAAAGCCACTCACTCCTTGTGGGATCTTTACCCAGCTCTGCTCCCCCAATCAGGTAGAAAAGCCACTTCCCAGCGAGCCGCCTCTACCATGTCCCAAAACAGAAGCCTTAGCTTCCTGGAATCTAGTCACCCCGACACCTTCAGGAAATTCCCATGCTGTTATCTCCAATGTGCAGAGATGCCAGCTTGGGCAAGGGGAAGCTGGACTCGGGGGGCTCTGACCATGGTTATCTCTTCAGGAGAGGGGCCTGGGAGGCTTCAGCCACTCACACTCATGCTGATCATTTCAGTAGCCCGCTCAAGGCCGGGCGTGGTAGCACACGCCTGTAATCCCAGCACTCGGGAGGCTGAGGCAGGAGGATTGTTGCAAGTTCGAGACCAGCGTGGGCTACAGAGTGAGCTCAAGGCCAGCCTGAACTGCATACCGAGACCCTATCTCAAAAAGACAAAAAAAAAAAACAAAAACCCGCTCAGCTCAGGATGTCCCATTGTATAGGTGCACATAGGAGCTAGGGCTTCCTAAGTGTCCAAGACACACAGCTGTCCAGAGGGTGGCTAAGGCCCAGACCCCAAAGGGGATGGACAAGCATGGTAGTGACTAAAAAGTCACATGACAACACTCAAGTGGAAAAAGTCTCCCGCGCATCTTAAAAGGATCAAGGCTAAAGGATATCAGCAGGCTTAGGTTAGCGGAAAGACAGAGAAAGCTGCGCGCTTTGCTGGAGAGGAGGCGCGTGTGACTCTCAAAGGGTACTGAGAAGTCTCCAAGACACTGGAGCTTGATGCCCACATCTCCCCAAACCGTACAGGGCAACCCTGAGAGGAGAGAGGAGAGCTGGGCTTGAGGAGCTGCAGGGCTTGAAAACCCTGACAGCTGCTTCTCGCTGTACTGGCTCCGCCGCGGGCAGGCCTCCCAGCCCACGACCCAAGTCCCAAAGGGACCCGCACCCCACCACCCCAGCTCTGCCACGAAACCCCACCCCCGACCCGGCCCTGCCATCGGACTCCCATCCCACGACCCTTGCCGGTCCCGGTACGCTTCCGGCCCCACCGTCAGGACCACCGCTCCCATTCCCGTCCCGCCCCCGGGACCTACTCTCCCGGCGCGGCCGTCCGGACCCCGGCCCCGCGACCCTGGTACTGCCGCCACCCGCCCGGCAAGCCCGGCTCTCACCCCTCAGTGTACTCGGCCTGCAGCAGTCCCAAGTAGGCCTCCCACTTGTTGCCGACGATCTTTCCGCAGGTAAAGCAGCGAACAGGGATGATCATGGCGACGACTGCCGGCCCGCGAGGCGGTGCCGAAGGTCCTGTTCCGGGCGCGCCCACTTGGCGGGGGTCGGATCCATCCCAACCCCAACCCGGCCGGTCTCTGCCGCCCCGGCCCCGGTCCCAGCCCGCCCTGCCCCCGTTGCCTTCTGGCCCCGCCGCGACGAGGCTACCTTGGGCACACGAGCGGTTCCCGGGGCCCACCCATCCACAGAACACAAGGATTCTCCCCCCCGTCCGTCACGGTGGTACGTCCCAGTACTACGGCGCCCGAGCGTGGCGCAAAGGCTACAGTGCGGGTTCGCGTTTCTCGTGCTCGCTTGACTGACAGTTTAGCAGCGGGAGCGGGGCCCAGCAGGAGGTTGCGCGCGCAGGTACGGTGCCTGCGGGTGGGGGTCCAGCGGACCGAACCCACCTGAGCGCGAGTCGAACGCACCAGTTCGAGGTCCGAGTGCGCGACGACAGCCGAATGGCGGCAACAAGTGGACGGGGTGGGGGGGCTGCCCGGGGCGCGCGGCAGAGGGGTCCCGGCAGGGGTCCCGGCCTCGAACCCTGCCCGCGGCTTTCGGGGAACCGGCTGCGGCATATCGGGCGCCTCTGGGTCGCCGCTGGCCGTCGCCGCAGTGACCGGCCCCCGACGGCGGCTTTTTGCCCGACCCTCTCGGGAACGGAGCTGGAGGGGCGCGGGAAGGGGAAGCCGGGGGCAGGACGCCCACGCGCGCCTCGGCACAGTGGGTGGTCAGGGCGGGCAGCGCGGAGGAGGCGGCCTTGCGGAACCGCAGCGAACCTGGCTTCGTCCCGGAGGCTGTGCCTGCAAGACCGCTGGGGGCGATAGGACTGCCTGTCCCCGAGGGGACGGGCCGCCGAGGACCTGGGGGACAGGGTGCTGATGGGGGTGATGGGGGGGCCGGGAGCCGGGCAGAGGAGGCGCGCTCGGGGAGACGCTGGACTCGGCCTTGGTGGGGGCATGAAGTGTTCGCACCCCACCCCCGCGGCTCCGCCGTCCCCCAAGGCCGGCCACGTGCGGAGCCACGCGCAGAGGCCACTTCCCTTCTCCGCGCCCCAGGCCGGGTGGACTCACATCCTGCCTGGGCGGCGGGGCGGCGGGGCGGCGGGGCGGCGGGCCCGGAGTGGCGAGGCCCTGGTCAGACTCGGCTGCGCAACGAGGTGAGGGCGTGAGGAGGGGTCCCAGGGTCAGTTGGGGGACGCTGAGGATGGGTGGGAACTCTGGGGACCTGGGGGAGGGGCCCGGCTGTCCCACCCCGCTCCCGCCCGGACGAGTTGTTTACTAGGCGAGAGCGGGGAAGCAGGGCCAGGCCGAGGGACATTCCTGGAATTCCGAGTGTGCGCCGAGGGGGAGGACCCCCGGCTCCTCCCTCCAGCTCCGGATCCCCAGCCCAGCCCTGCGCGAGCCGCTCCTGGTCAGCGGTGGGAGTGCCGTCCTTACCCACGACCGCGGTGGACCTGAGGGTCCTGGCTTCCCGGTGCCTCCAACTTGGCTGGCGCAGCCGCCTCTGTGGGTGTTTGGTAGCAGACCAGGCTAGGGTCCGGGCCAGCTCCTCAGGTGCGGCAGCGGGCGTGGGAGAGCCAGAGTGCAGGCTTCCTCGGGTTGGCCGGCGCTGAGGGACCCTGGGGACGGTGGGCACTGCTCCCAGGAGCGGGGCTGGAGCATGAGGAGGGCGCTGCGCACTCACATGCGCTTGCCACCCCCCTGCTCCAGTTGCCAGGGACCAGGGGAAACGTGCCACTGAAGTTCTGCCCCAGCCCCTCTTGCCAGGTGTCACCCTGGAAACAGGCAGCCACAGGGAGTGCAGGGCGCTGGGCTGAGGTTCTGCGGACCTCACGCCCTGGTTTTGGGTCACAGCCTCAGTGCTCTGGTGGGACCAGCACCTTCCACCAGGAGGGGCCCAGTTCCCTTCATCATGGGGGTGCCTGGGGTGGGCAGTGCAACCTGGGGTGGGCAATGTCACTCTCCAGTCCCGTCCCCCACCGCTGCATCTGCACCCTCTGCTGTGTGAGTGAAGGGGCATGTTCACCCAGAGGGTACGCTGCAGCCCCCAGTGCCCACTGCTGTCTGCGAGCTGCCGCGCGTAGCGATTGTTGCACACAGGCTTTGGGAGCGGGGCCTGCGCAGATGTGGCTGGGCCGGATGGGCCCTGCCCTGCTGACCCATGGACAGGCCTGGGCTGGGGCGTTGGGATCCTCAGTGGCTCTCCCAGCTGCACGTGACCTCCAGCCCAAAGTGGCTGGAGGAAGTTGGGGGGAGGTGCTGGAGGAAGCGGGGCTGAGGATCCTCTAGTGGCCTCTGGGGGCGGGCTGTCCCCTCCCTCTCCTCCCCGAGTTAGGTGGACAGAGGCTCCTGCCCAGGCTGGGTGAGCCCGCTTCTGTGTGGGTTGTCAACTGGCCTGGCCAGTGTTCACTGTGCCCTGGCAGGGGGCGGTGCTGGGGTGGACACCGGGCCCAGCAGGGCAGGACGTGCAGCAGGACAATGGGCTACAGCCTGTCGGAGCCGCTCGGCCCTCCCTGCCTCCTCGGAGGCGGCTCCACTCCGCTCTGCATGCTGGGCTGCCTGAGTGGTTAGAGACCCTTGGCCTGGCCGTGGTGCCACCCTACTGAGGCTCAGGGGCCGCCCTGTGGTGCATTGCCCACCCCAGGCTGCAGAGGGTGAGCTCCAGAGTTTGGGGAGGTCCCTCTTGGAGTGGGACTGAGGTCTGGCCAGGAGGGTGCCCGGGTCCCCTTGTTGCTCACACCCCCACTCCCTCAGCAGAAAGGATCCTTGTTGGGGCCTTACTGGCAGATGAGTGGGCCTCATGGGACACTGTTGGCTGGCTCAGGTAGTGCCCCTGAGGAGGGGTATCCATCTATTCCGAGCAGGGAAGGGTGGTGTGTGGGGTGCTGTGAAGGAAGGGGACAGTGCCAGCTTGGGCCCCTGGGCATGCAGCTTGGGTGTCCTGGCCTGTGTCCCCGTGTCTGCATGTGAGCACATGTCCAACGAGTGTGCATCTGCCTGGGGTCTGGAAGTTTGCCTAGCTGGACCACTGGCCGGAAGTCTGACCCTGATGTGTGGCCCCCAGCCCAGCCCAGCCCTGGAGTAGGGCTTCTGGGCTCTGGCCCTTGGTCCCTAGGAGCTTCTCCGTCATAGTCAGGGGCCTGGGGTGGTGTGGCGTGCACTTTGCAGTCTCCTGCAGGGCACAAGCTGGCTTGGCTGTGCTGACCGTGCTCCAGCTCCCTCAGGCCGGCCTCTGAGGCTCGGAATGCCTCCTTCTGGGTGAGGAGGAGGGCCCACCGTCCCCAGCGTCCCTCAGCGCAGACCAACCCCGAGGACGCCTGCACCCTGGCTCCCCACCTCCCGCTGCTGCACCTGAGGAGCTGGCCTGGACCCCAGCATGGTCTGCTGCCTGGCTGGGCAGAGTGTGACCGGCAGTGCGGGGCCTGTCCTGGCCCCTGCTTGCCTATGGCTGCATCCTGGGTGCAGGGACCGATACCATCTCTGAGCCTGTCTTCTTGGGGGGCCCTGCGGGAGAGAGCTGGGCTTTAGGGACAATCCCAGGGGTTGGCAGTGCCCTCTTGGGTAGGATGCCAGGGCCCCACACCCTTGCCCAGCCTATGGCCTGGCCTCCCTGTGAACCTGGGTGTCCTCAGCTGCCTGGCCATTGGGTCCTGTTGATGCCAAATTGGCCCCCTCTGCCCATGGGTGTGGCATGCAAGGGAGGGGGCACAGGGTGGGCACCCTGGGCTGTGGACTCAGGATTGGAACCCAGGCAGGCTCCCGTCTCCGTGCCCTTGGCCTTGGCACTCAGGGACCTCTTGGGGAGCTGTCCTCAGCTAGAGGGAGACAGGGAGACAGAGCTCTCCATCACCACTGTGACTTCTCGCCTGGCCATGCCGGTGCAGAGAGGTTGGGCTCAGGCTGCTGCCTTGGTAGCAGGAACCGCTCTCACCCTGTGGCCCCTGCCCCCTGCTCCCCACACCCAGGGTGGCCTTTTAGGGGCCAGATGGGCAGCCTGGGGTCCGTCTGTCCCATGGTGGCTCTGGGCTGCAGAGCCAGCTTGGGGTGGCTGGTGGCTCCCCACGGGAGCAGGGTCAGTGTGTGTGGTGTGGTGGTGTAGTAGTGTCTGGGTGCTTGGGCTGGCTTATGTACTCAGCCCTGGATTGGGCCTGTGTCCATCCTCTGCTTGGATAGCTGAGTTGGGCCAGGGGCTGCTGGGGCCCCCCAAGGTTCTGGTGGGCTCATCTGCTGCCACCTGCTTCCTGGTGGTCTGTGGGTTGGGCTGTCTGCTACCCTGCGGGGCTTCTACTGTCAGACCTTTGTCGCTTCCTTGTCCCTGTTCCCTCATGGGGCCAGCAGGCAGGGAGACCTTGGGAAGCCCCTCTGCCAGCCCACAGCGCCCCCCAGGATTGGGACCCTGGAGTCGGCCTTAGGGCCTGGGCTGCAGTCCTCCATCAACCCCCCAGGGGGCAGAAGAGAGCTGGTGTCAGGAGCCCGGACCCGATGTGGAGGAACCGCGCTGGGCACCAGAGTTCTAGTTTTCGCTGCAGCCCCTCCGAGGCACTCTGACCACACATCCGGACCTTTCCCGAGGCCCTAGAGCTGGCCAGCCGGGCGATGGCACTCTCAGCTCCACACCTCCTTCCCTCTGGACTTCAGCTTCTAGGACTGCCCATGGGTGGACAGAGCGGGGAGCGTCCCTGGCAGCTGTTTCCCTGTGCCCCAGGCCCACGGCTCCCATTCCAGTCCCGCAGGCAGCGGGTCAGCCCAGCGTCCTGGCTCCTTGCTGACAGTCTGCCATAGGGCGGGGGCGGGGTGGGGGGGGTCCGGGCTGCACCCTTCGGGGAGCCGGGCGGGGGGGGGGCCGAGTCCCAGCCTGGGACATCTGTCCCCATCTCTGCTTGCAGGCGCGATGGGCTAGTATACGTGCACCCACAGCGCTCGCTCACTCTCAGGCTGGGCGGGGGGGTGCTGGTGCAGATGAAATTTGGGGCCTCTTGTTCAGAAATTTTGGACTTAGGAAAATGGTTCCACGAGTTTGAGACAGCAGTCGCTGTGTGGCCGCTCTTGGAGCTGGCCCTGTGTCTCGCCCCGGGAGCCAGGACGGGCCACCTGGGCCCGCATGGCCATCGGGGGTTCTTTGGGGTCCCTTTTGGCTCCTACATCCTGGACGCCACCACTCCCTCCCGGGCACCCAGGGCGCCCCAGACGCCCGGAGCCGGAGCTACCCCAGGTTGCCAGCCGCAGCAGCTAGGTCGCCGCTGACTTTGCTCGGCGCTCTGCGCCCCTGGCTTGGTGGGGTAGTCGCCCCCCGCGGGTTGGGTGTTCGGGCGGGAGCTGCGGGGTCTCGGCGTCCGCCCCGCAGCCGGCGAGGCGCAGGGGCGGGGCCGACTAGCTGCGATTGGTCGGCCGGAGGGGCGGGGCTGTGCGGGATTGGCCGGCGATGCGGGGCGCAGGAAAGCGG